ACAAAGGGCAGAATCATGGAATTCCTCTTCCTGGAGGCCTTTCAAACAGACCTCAGTGACCACTAGTATATATTGTAGAAGGATTCTTTTTCAGGTATGGGTCAGATCTGAGCCCTCTGATTTAGAGATGAAAAGCTGAAGGTAGTCGTAGTGGGAGATAGAAATGACAGGATATAGTAACTGATTGGACATGTACAGGTGAGTTTGTCAAAGAGCCTGAGATAACAGAAAAATCGGGAAAAGAAATAAAGAAGACAGGAAGGGTAGATTTATCATACAAGATAATTTCAGTTTTATACATGATGAGTTGAAGAAAGTATAAACAACTGTGCTACTTGGGAACACTTGTCTTCATTGACTGAGGACAGCTGTCAGCCTCCAAAAAGGTCTTCAAAACCGGAAAAGGACCGAAAGCCTGACACAAAAATGCAATTGACGTTAGTCATGAAGCCTTTTAGTCTCTCTTTATGGATGGTCCCATTTTGGCTTCATATTTTTACCTGGTAACATAGGGAGAGTGTCTGTTGTGATTTTTTTGAGGTAGTATCTGAAAGTTTTAAAATAGTTATCAGTAGTCAATATTTGTTTTCTTGTATGAGGAACTGGGTGAGGTCGGCCCATGAAGAACTATGCAGGAGACTCAAGTTTCCAGTGCTAAAGATTGGCGGCTGCAGTCATCTTATGGTTGGGTTATCTGCACTGGTGGTTCTCTTTGTAGGTGGTCAATTTAAATTGACAAGAAAATAATATATGGGACTCTTGAGAAACCTATGCTCAATTCGTTATCCAATCAGAGAGCTTTTATTTTGTCTCTTCAGGCATGGGACCCTCTGAATCAAAGGTCAAACAACATTTTCTTAAGCACCTGCTGTGTGCCGGGCACTGGGGATCCAAAGGAAGGCAGAAGCAGCCCCTGCCCTTGAGGAGCTCACAGCCCAGTGGGGAAAGCAACATGTAAAAATAGCCGTCAGTGTGATGAAGTCTTGGAAAGTGGGAATAGGGAGTAGGGAGATGACCTGAGGAGGGGCTGAGTTTCCAAATGGATTTCACTTTGTAGAATGATGTGTTTCTGGAGATGATGAAGTCCAGGAAAGTAGCCAGGTGGGAAATGATGAGGATTCTGGGGGTGCCATTCTTCAGTCGTGGAGTATCTGGTAGGAGCTCTCCTATCCCAGTCAGAGGGGGCAGGAGGTAGGTGCTGAGGAGCTGTGAGTTTCTGAGTTGATGTCTTGTAGAATGATGGGTTTCTGGAGATGATGAAGCCCAATCCTTTGTAGATGAAGTTAGGTACCTTTAGTCCGTGCTCTCTAGGTATTTGTATTTAAGGCAGGTCACAGTTACATGGACAAAAACAAAGGAAATAACATGTAAAAGTATAAATGTTGAGCAAATAAGTTATGCATTAACAATTTTGTGTGTAGGCATAAGGACATCTGAGGTGATGAGTAAATGAGGAGTTATAAAAGTAGTTGCATAGTGTGATACTTGGAGGCATTCAAAGAATTTCATTTTTCCAAGTTTATTTTACTTTGTTCCCCTCTGTACACTGTTTCCCAGTAAAGTTTGAATATGGGTTGTTCCTTATTTTAATCCTGTCTGTCTTTTTCCTGCCTTTTCACTGGCACAGGCCACATCCTGGAGCAACATCTTCTACATCTTTGCCTCTTTAAGACAGATCAGGTGCTACCTGTTCCCTGAAACTTTGTCCGTGTGCCTACCCTCCTCAACCTCTCATGTCTTTTGGTTTGATCTCTGCCAGGCACTTGCCCCATTGGAACTTGAATTCTCATTAGTTACGTGAATGACTAACCCTTTATTAGATATACGCTCCCTTCCACAGCTAGCACATTGTATTGCGTCTAAGCAGAGAATTAACAACTGTTGAATTTTTAGAATCATAAAATGTTAGAATTGGAAGGAACCTTGAATGTTATCTTTTCCAGTCCCCTCCTTTTAACAGGTGAACAAACTGAGTCCCACAGAGGTGGGAATTACTTGCCCAAGATCTTAGAACAAAGCTGAGACTAGAACCCAGATTTCCTGGTTTTCTGCCTCATGATGCTTCTGTGAGTGTTGACTTGAGTCAGAAGACCTGGGTCCAAGTCCTGGCTCTGCCATTAGTTGCTTTGTGGTCTGGGGTAAGTCAGTTTTTCCTCATTTGCCTTCAGTTTCATCATGTAGAATGAGAGGCTTAGCTGAAATGATCTAAGGTTCTTTCAAGTTTTAACATTCTCTGATTTCATCTTTCAGTTAGAGAAGATAGCTTTTGAATCTAGTCTTATTTCTACCATTGATTCACTGTTACAGTATTTATTCAGAAAAAAAATTAAAACTGAGTTAACTGTAACAAATGTATATAGTGGCTTTTTTTCTCTTGTTAAGATTATTCACAGATCAGTCTTACTTTTTCCGGCTTTTCATAATTCTTTGACATTTGTTTTCAGACTAATTTTGGCTAGGTTCCTTTTAGGGTCCAGTCTTTTTTATGATTTTTTTTCTTGAGATAAATTACAGTTCATCTGTTTTGACAGATTAATGCCCTTTAAAATTAAAATCATGAACCTTTTATGTCCCCCTTTCTCTTTATTCTCATCATTGATAGGATACAAAATTAGACATGCTATTTCTCCTCTACTTCTTTGCTCTGGCCTATCCTCTGGAGTTGATTTTTTTGTCTAGAGCAGGAAATAGTGAGAGTCCAGTTGACAGTTTTCATGTCAGTACGGTGAGAACCATCCCAGTATCCAGCTTGGACTTGCGTGTTTTTGTGAGATTAGTAAATATGTGAGTGAGTACAGTTTTTACCCTTTGTAGTAAATGACCATTAATTCATTGGCTTTGTTATGTTATTGATGTCAGTCAGTATTCACTCTATAGGTGCATCTCTATTTATTCCTAATCATCTTGTACTATTCTTTTTCATTTTTTTCCAAGGATCCTTAGAAGAGGTTCACCCATCATACTGGAGGCCTTCCTCCAGGCCTTTTTTTACATTTCGTGACTACCACTGGACCTGTTGTCTTTCAGGCTGTCCTGTTTTCCCTCAGTCTTGCCACATGACCAGCCTACCTTATTTTCTGATAATATATTTCCTTGGTAGCATGCCTTCCCCAGGTACATATACGGATATCTTACATATAAGTCGTCAGCCTCTCATCCTTTCTCCTGCACTTCCCATCCTTCCCTTTTCTTCCTTTCTCTGGGAAGGTTGGTGGTGCCTTTGATAGAAGATCACATAGCTGTGCTGTGATGTAGGTCTTTCTGATTCTGAGGACAGCTCTCTGTCCACTATTCTACGCTTCCTCTACATTCTGTATGTATGTATGTGTGTGTGTGTGTATATGTGTGTGTGTGTGTGTGTATATCTCCATGTTTGTATATTTACATGTGTGTGTGTTTGTATTCATGTATATCACAGAGACATGGAATCTGTAGACTCTCCAGAGACCTCAGTGGCCTCCTAGTACAAGATAAACTTGAAGAAACACCCCGCCCCCCCCAAAACATACTCAACAAGTGATTAACTGTCCTTTGCCTGGAAACATATAGTATGGGTGGATCCCCTGTCCTAGAAGGCAGCCTATTCCACTTCTGGATAGCACTAATTGTTAAGAGAATTGACCTTTCATCAAACTTAAGTTTACCTCTGCAAAGAGTACTGGACTTGGAATCCAGACAATTTGGGGTCACATCTTGCCTCGGATACTGAGTTCAGACATTATCTGTGACATTAGCTTTTAGATTAGACATTGGCTGTGTGACCTCGACAAGTCATTTAGCTCTGAGCCTTGATTTCTTCATCTTTAAACCAACCTCCCCGATGGTTGTGAGGATTAAAGGGCTTTGCAAAATGTTTTGAAAACTTTAAAGTGTTATATAAATGTGAACTATTGTTAGTATTACTAATTCTGACCTCTCAGCCTGAGCAGAGAAAGTCTGATCCCACTTCCATGTGACAACTCTTTAAATAGTTGAAGACACCTATCACTGTGTTCCCCCCCAAGCTTTCTTTTCTGCGAGCTGAAGAATTCATGTTGCATAATTTTGAGGTCCTTCACTATCCTGCTTGCCTCCTCCATGTGTTCTCCCCCTAATGATATTCATCCGTAAGATTTTAGAAAGCATGGACTTTGTTTCTGGAGCTGTCCTGGGTACTGGGAACGCAGAGACAGTGATGAAACGGGTCTTGACTTCAAGGAGCTTATGTCCTATTGGTGTTCTTAAAATGTGGCATCCATATAAGCTTGTGTGTAAATAAACATCAGCATTGCATATGGATGGGGCTGTAATGTTTCTTTTTCCCGGTCTTAGTCTGGAGGTATATACGGTTCTCAAATGATCACAGAACTTAGAACTGGAAGAGAACTTCGGGACCAGATAGCCCAGCCCTTCATTTCATACATGAAGACATTGAAGCTTGTAGTGCTGAAAGGACTTGGTGGAGGTCACAAAGAGAGCATTCTTGATAATTTTTTTTTCCCTCACAGGGAGTGAGTTAATATAATGATTTTAAAATTTTAATTTTTTGAAGAAAAGACTTGAAATATTTTTAGCTTCAAACCTTTGTTTTGAAGATCTTTTGTTTTCAGAAAATGTGAAATGGAAAGACTAGGTAGAAAGTCTTCCAAACATATGTCGTGCTTTCTGATGATAAATGTAGCTTAAGATATAAAAGAAAACTTCCATAGTGTCCTTTACTGGCATTAGCTTTCTTGTAAAGCATTTGAAGATTTGGGGGAAAATTTAAATCAGCCATCAATTCTAAAAGCAATTTCTTTGAAATGCCAAAAAACCATAACTTAGCTATTTCTCATGTCACATCAAGGACGCTGGCACATTTACAGCCTTTTTAAAGTAAGACTTTAATTTCACAAAAAACTCTTCTGGAATTTCTCCATCTAGCACCTGTAAGAATAATATATGTGTGTGTGCATATATGTACATATACATATATAGTACACTTCTGATTAGAAATAATAATAATTTTATTTTACCTTCAGCTTATAAAAATGGGACGTCGTTCGTCAGATACTGAAGAAGAGAGTAGAAGTAAGAGGAAAAAAAAACATCGAAGACGGTCCTCTTCAAGTAGTTCTTCAGAGAGCAGAACCTTCAGCCGCAAGAAAACAGGAAGGAAATCAAGATCCAAGTCAAGATCTTGGTCTAGGGATCTGCAGCCCCGTTCACATTCTTATGATAGAAGGTGAGCAAAGCTGAGGAAATTCAATATAGAGTTTATGAACTCCATCAGGTTGTGTTTTGGGACTATTTATTTTTCTAGTTGAAAAATTCAGACCTTTGTCTTAGAAATCATAAGCATGAAAAGCTCTTATTACACTTTAATGATGCATTTATATATTGCAAACTAGGAATATGTCAGAATAGCTGACATTATTAGAAAGACTCTCTACTGCTCTGGAATTGGAATATTTTCTGGTTGTTACTGTTTTGTGACTAGAAATGGTATTAGAGGAGAAATACATTGATTTGTTTAAAGGAGGGGGGTGGAGTACTTTCTCTGTGCTTAACACTTAATTACTTAGTTAAATAAACACTAAGTGCTACCTAATGTGTGCAAAGCAATATTTCAGGTGCTCTGGAGAGTTAAAAAGAAATTCAAATATGATAGTGACCACCATCAGGGAGTTTGTCTTCTGGTACTATGGATAGGGAATATTTACAGCTTGAAATTAGAGTACTGGAAGTTCAGTAAGAAATGTGAAAGATGCTATAGAGGTTGAAGGGAGAGTATATTTTTGGGTTGGGGGGGAGAGTGGATGATTCAAAGAAGGCTTGATGGAGAATCTATGGTCTGGAAGGAAAGGGGACACATTAGAAAAAAATTGGTGATATTTCAAGTCTGTAGAATTATGTTATTCGTATCAATAGAAGCAGCATCATCAGCCAATTCCCATTAAAGCATAATCAATGTAAAATTGTTTCAGACGCAGGCACCGTTCCAGTAGTAGCTCTTCTTATGGATCTAGAAGAAAACGAAGTCGGAGTAGATCGAGGGGCCGAGGAAAATCCTATAGATCTCAGAGATCAAGGTCAAAAAGTAGAACAAGAAGGTAGATTCTTTTTTTCCCCCCTAAAACATCAAGTTGCACTATTTTCATCTATAGGGTAGTGTTATTTTTTTTTTGTGTTAAGTTCTCACCTTGAACTGCCTCCCTCTTCACCTTCTATGAACCACTCAGTTCCAGTGGTTTAGAATCTTAATCTACCTCCCTTCCCCCATTGAACAATTGAAAAAAAGAAAAAGGAAATTTATAACAAGCATGCATTAGTCCAGTAAAACAAATTGTCACATTGTCAACGTATAAAACTGTGTCTCATTCTGCATTTTTAGTCCATCACCTCTTTGGGAGGAGGCAGGTTATTTGATCTTTAGACTTCTGGACTCATGGTTTATTATTATCTTTCAAAGTTGCTTTTTTCTGCAATGTTGTCATCTTGTTAATTATATTCCCAGTTCTGCTCACTTCCCTCTGTATCAGAGATCTTCCTGGTTTCCTTTGAAGTTGTCCATTTCTTAATTTTTTTTTTTTTTTGGTGAGGCAGTAGAGGTTAAGTGACTTGCCCAGGGGTCACACAGCTAGTAAGTGTCAAGTATCCGAGGCCAGATTTGAACCCCGTCCTCCTGACTGCAGGGCCAGTGCTCTGTCCACTGTGTCACCTAGCTGCCCCCATTTCATTATTTCTTATGGCAAAATAATATTCCATTTCATACACTTATTTACCTACATACACTTATTTACTCATTTGCCCTTAGTTTCCAAGTTTTGGCTACTGTGAAAATAGCTACTGTAAAAATTTTAGTACATATAAGTCCTTTTCTTCTTTCTTGGATCTTTTTGGGGTGTAGGATTAATAGTGATGTAGCTGGGTCGGAGGGTATACACAATTTAATATCTTTTTGGGCATAGTGCCACATCACTTTCCCACATGACTAGACCAATTCATAGCTCCACTACTAGTGAATCACTGTACGTGTTTTCCCACAGCCTTTCTAACATGTCATTTTTTTCTTGTCATCTTTGCCCATCAAATGGAGGTTAAGTGAAGCCTTAGAGTTGTTTTAATTCATATTTCTCTAATTATTAGTGATTCAGAACATTTTTTTCATATTAGTTTTGATAGCTTGTATTTCTTCCTTTGAAAACTACCTGTTCTATCCTTTGAACATTTATCTTTTGGAGAATGGCTCTTAGTCTTATAGCTGAAGCAGCTCCTTATATAGCTGAGATATGAGGCCTTTATCAGAGAAGATTGCAATAAAGACTCCCCCTTGCCTGTTACCTGTTTCCTTTCTAACTTTCACTGCATTAGATTTGTTTGTGCAAGATCTTTTAAATTTTATGTAATCAGATTGTCAGTTTTGTCTTGTGATCCTCTTTTTTTGCTTGTTTAGTCCATAGAACTGAAAAATAGCTTCTTCTTTGCGCCTCTGATTTGCTTATAATGTCAGTTTTTATGTCTAAGTCACGGATCCATTTGGAGTACCTTGGTGTACAGTGAGAGATACTGCTCTGTGCCAGATTTCTGCCAAGCTTCATTCCAGCTTTCCCAGCAGTTTTTGTCAAATAGTGAGTCCTCCCCAGTAACTGCAGTTTTAGGATTAATTGGACGCGGTGTTAGTGTGTTCATTTACTTCTGTATGTTTTCCTAATATGTTCTGCTGATCAAATTCTTTGTTTTTTATCCAGTGTCAAATAATTTTAACGATCATTGCTATAGATTCAGATCTCTCTTTTTTCATTATTTCTCAAGATTCTTGATCTTTTGTGCCTCCATATGAATTTCATTATTATATTTTTCTAGTTCCATGATAACATCTTGTAGTGGTTTGGTTGGAATGTCACTGAATAAGTTATTATATTGGCTTGACCTTCCCATAAGCAATTTTTATTTCTTTAATTTTTTTAGATTTATCTTTATTTCTGTAGAATGTTTTATGATTGGATTCATATGGTTCCTGGATGTATCTTGGTAGATTTACTCCTATATATATTAAACTTTCTGTGATTATTTTGAGTGGCATTTCTCTTTTTAGCTCTTCTTGCTGGATTTTGTTGGTAATACACAGGAATGCTGATGTTTTATGTGGATTTATTATATGTCCTGAAATTTTAATGAATTTATTTTCTCTATTAGTTTTTTGGCTGACTTTTTAGGATTTTCTAAATAAAGTATATCATTTACAAAAAGTGATGATTTTTTTCCCTTTGCCTAAGAATATTCCCTCAATTTCTCTTTCTTATCTTACAACAATAACTAGCATTTCTAGGACTAAGTTAAACAATAGCAGTGATACTGGGCATCCTTGCTTTACCCTGATCTTTTTTGGCTTCTAACTTTCTCTATTAGGTAAAATATTTACTCTTGGTTTTGCATAGATATTATTTATTTATGCTAAAGAAAGACTTATTTATTCTCATACTTTGTAGTGTTTTTTAACAGAAATAGGTTTTTGATTTTGTCAAAAGCTTTTTTCAGAATCTATTGGTATAATCATGTAGTTGTTGTGTTTTGTATTATTAAATTGACATGTTATATTTATGGATTTCCTTATGTTAAACCAGCCCTTTTTACCTTGCATAAATCATTCAACAAGCATTTATTAAACACTTACTAGGTACCTAGCTCTGTGGTAAGCACTGGTGATACAAATATACGCATAAGGAATGGCAGTCCTTGTCCTCAAGGATTTTACCCCTATAGGGAAAGATAGCACGTAAAGGGAGCTGAAAAATGAGTGGGGTGAGGGAGGGGTTTCCAGGCCAAAGCCCAGAGCATCAGAAGCAGAGTTGGGAGGGCAAGAAGGAGGGCTTGGACCCCTCACCAAAACGAAGCTTTGGCAAACATTCACCAATATACCTTTACCCTGACTGGCCCTCATCCAGGGCTGCAGCCCATTCTGGGCACATGTTCTCCACCCCCTTTCTCCCCCCGCTGAGTGGCTCCACCTGCCCGTCTGCTGCGTCCCAGCTTCCCACTCACACCAGTTGGTGTACTGAAGCCTTTCTTCGTGACTGTGCCTATCTGCACAAAATTCTCTTGTTTCTTTTTTAAGGAGTATGTGCACTTTAACCGAGGTGTTCATGGGGCATCCATGAAAGGCATGAAAGGAGTCTTCAAGCAGAGCCTGGTACACTGGGTGCACATTTCACTGGTGTCTGTCTCCTCACTCGTCCCTCTCCTCGCCTGCTCCTGTGCCAGTCCCCAACTGAGCAGAGTGTCAGGAGGGTTGGGTTTCTTTCAGCTACAGTACAAGTTAATCTCACTTGATGAGTTGAGATGAGAGCCAGAGGGTAGAGGCTGATGAGCCGTGCCTTCCTTATATTTTGGTGTCTCGTGGAGATGAGTCAGGCCTCTCCTTGTACAACTACTTCCTGTGACTTACAGTGTTAGCCTCTCAGGGAAGCATGGTGTTAAGCAAATGGCTACCCATGAGGCCTCAAGGAAGAGCGGAAGCCAGGTCATCCAGACTCAGAGGCAGTCCCTGGGTGCCCTGCCTTATGACTGCCACCAGGAGGCAGGGGCTGGCTGGATTTTTACCTTCATACCCTCCGTGCTGCTCACAGGGCTCCATGTTCTGTGAGGACATGGGATTTCATCATGAGCACCCTCCACCAATATATATCTATAGATTGGCAACTAGCTTGGAACTTAGAGGCCTGGAGTCTGCCCGGGACACGAGGAGGTCAGGAAACTACTTGTCCACGGTTACACAGTCAAATGTGTATCCAAGACAGGACCTGAACCCAGGTCTTTCTGAGTACAAAGCCAGAGCTTTATCCCAGATGCTGTAAGCCTTGTGCATAGTAGCTACTTAATAAATCATGAATAAGATTAAATCAGTTCATGAACTGAAAGAGAGAGAGAGAGAGAGGAGAGTGTGTGTGTGTGTGTGTGTGTGTGTGTGTGTGTGTGTGTGTGTTTGTGTCTTCCAGAAATAAGAATTATAAGATCATAGATTTGTAGTTGGAAAGAACCTTAGTGCATGGTATAGATCAGAGGTTGGCCAACTGTGACCCATGGGCTCCATCTGCTTTGGCCTCCTTTCTGTTTTTATATGGCCCTTTAGCTAAGAAGGGTTTTCGCATTTTTAAAATGTAGTTTTATTGTTTTTAAAAATGCAAAAACCATTCTTAGCTTTCTGATTGTACGAAAACAGGCAGCATCAAGTGCAAGCTATATTTTGCCAACCCCTCATATTGGAAGGTGATCTCATCAACTCTCCATGGCTTCAGCTATCATTTCGAGGAGGATGGCTTCCAGATCTCAATACCCAGCACTCACCTCTCCTGAACTCCATTTTCATAGCTTTACTGCTTCTTAGACATTTCCACCCGGATTTCCCACTGGCATCTCAAACTCAAAATGTTTGAACTGAATTCATGATATTTTCCCCTAAGTGACTTAGCTTCTCAGTTTCTTTTGAGGATGCCACCTTCCTTCCAGTTTCAGTGGTTCTTCGCCTTGCATTCTCTCCTGCTTCTCTTTTCTGATTAGTTGCTGAGTCTCTCTGGTTCTGCCTCAGTGTCTCTCCTATCTGTCTCTGCTGCCCTATTTCCTGTCCTCATCCTCTCTCACCTAGATTTTTGCAGCAGCATCTTAACTGGTTTTCCCACTTCCTTCTCTCCCCTCCAAAGCACCTTCCACATAGTGGCCAAATTGATATTGCTGACACATATTTACCATATTCCTGGGCTGTTTCCAGCACAGTTAGTCCCTTCCTGGGGTTGTATGATCAAATATGGACTTGTCTGCTTGGTATTGAAAGCACTTCATGGGGTGCTTCCAGCCCGTCTTTCCTGCCAATTACACACTTCCCACACTGGCCTCCTTGCTCTTTTCCATACATGATGTTCTGTCACGTCTTTGCCTTTGCACGAGTTATCCCCAGTGCCAGGAATGCTCTTCCTCCTCACCTCAGCCTCAGTTTTAGAATCTGCAGGGGAAGAGAAGGGAGTAACCATTTATTAAGCACCTCCTGTGTGCCAGGTACTGTTCTAATTGCCTTGCAATCATCTCATTTGATCCTCGCAACCACCCTGGGAAGGTA